TGGTAGAGCCCCTGCCTAGAATCACTCAGTGAGGGGCTGGGGTGTGGTTCATCGGGAGAGCCCCTGCATAGCATCCCCCAGGGAGGGTAAGCAGCACTCCTGCTCAGCAGGCACAAACCCCTAGGTTCAATATCTAGCTTTGTAAAAATAAATAACAAGTAAGAGAGAGATTTGATGAAGTTATGCTATTTTTGTTTGTTTGTTTGAAGAACTAGGCCATAGGTCAGAGAATACAGGAGGCCTGTAAAAGCTGGAAAAGATGACTCTTAGCCCTGTGAGATCTATGGCATGGACCACATGGTGACCACTGCTGCTTGACAAAGTTCCAGCATTTCAACACTGCAGACCACCCTTCTCCAGAACCTTTTAACTTCCACTTTGGGAAATTTGTGTGGGGCTTTGGTAAAGGATGAAAATGTGTACAATGGTAGCCTCTCTAAACAAAGCAACTCTTTGGAAAAAAATCCCCACCACTGACCGAGTAACCAGGAATCCTACTGAGCCCTCCTAATGACACCAAGAACAGGAACGTTAGATTTACTATACACACCTGACCTCAAGGATGAAATGCCTACAGTTCAGATCCAGAGCCTGAGGCCATTAAGGGCAAGAGTTCAGCTAATGAGTGTGGAGGAATAAGAACGGTACCGTATAATGGAAAAAGAGTAAGACATCAGGACCGTCTCCTTTGGGAGCAGTAAGAGGGAAACAGGTCCATATAGTAAGACTAAGAAACTGTATTCAGTATAGGGTCTGCTCCCCAGAAGAGGTCCTTTTCCCAAAGTCAGGCATTTGGATAAGGGTCTCCATTCATCCAGGGGATTGAGGAAATGTCCTGCTCGCTAACAGTCCTTCTTGTCTCTAGCAAGGAACTTGCAGCCCTTTCATTAACCTGACGGGTGCCTATTACCATGGTCAAGGCTAAATTCCTCAACCCCGGATCTCAAAACACACCCCAGTTCACAGCCCCTTGTCTCCCGCTTAATCCTTTGTGCAACTACAGAGAATAAAAGGAGTATTCTCTTTTCAATTAAATGCTGCTGGCAATGAACCTGATTCACCCCATCCCCAGTGACTCTACACATCCTTTTCAGGACCTGAACCACAGTCAAAGCAGGTTTCTGACAGACCTGCTTTGGGTTTCTGACCTCCAGAACCTAAGACAGTACATTTGTGTCATTTTTTTTAAATAACTGATTTATTTTTATGTGCACTGGTGTGAGGGTGTCAAATCCCCTGGAACTTGAGTTACAGACAGTTTTAAGCTGCTATGTGGGTGCTGGGAATTGAACCTGGCTCCTCTGGAAGAACTGTCAGTGCTCTTAACCACTGAGCCGTCTCTCCAGCCCCATTTGTTTCATCTTAAAGCACTACATTGGTGGTGACCTTTGTAGCAGACATAGAAATGAACACAGAGGTACTGTCTGGATTTCTGTTTTTCCAGTGCTGGGTATTAAACTCAGGGCCTTGAGCACACTAGGCAAGTGTACACAGAGCTATATTCCTAGGCCCCACCCCTCCTCTTTTTAAGACAAGGTTTCCTGTAGCTGAGGCTTTTCTCAAACTCAGTACAGCCAAGGATGCACTTGAAGGATCCTCCTGCCTGTACCTCCCAGTGCAGAGAACACAGGTGTCTACCACCAGGTCCCGTTTACGCACTGATGGGAACTGAAGCCAGATTTTCACGCAGGCTAAGGAGGCACTTCACCACCAATTGAGCTATATCCTTCCATGCCTTGGCCGCTTGGTTGTTTACTGTTATATTTGTGTGTGTGTGTGTGTGTGTGTGTGTGTGTGTGTGTGTGTGTGATGTGCACACCACAGTGTGTACGTGGAGGGCAGGAGAACTCTGTAGTTTATTCTCTCCATCTTTCTGTGGGCTCTGAGACTGAACTCAGGCTGACAGACTCACAGCACAAGCATCTGTACCCACTGGGCCATCTCTTTGGCCTTCTAGTTAAATTAGCGAGCTGTAAGTTCAGCGCGGGACCCTGTTTCTAATAATAAAGTGGAGAGCAATAGAGACGAAGAAGGTCAGTGTCAATCTCTGGCCTCTGCACACTCTTGCACACATATGCATACACAACTACATGTATGCATATATTCCCACACACATCCACCACATCCACCATACATGCCAAAATACAACAAAAAATCCAAACCAACAAAAAGAAACTCATGACTGCATCTATAGATACACATACTTGTGCATACACATGAATACATACACAAAATAAATAGGTAAATAAACAAATATTTTTTAAAAATGCAGGCCAGGCTTGAGCTGTAGCTAACATGGACTTCTGGGCGCATGTCCCAGGTAAATGAATCTTATCCAGGACACTGGATCCCCACTCTAAATCTCTGTAACAACCAGGGCAATGTCACAGACAGCAATAGCAACGCCCCTCTGGTTATGTCAGCACAGGCGACTCACTGACGCCTGAGCCATGGGCCCTTCCCTTTCCTCACATGCTTAGGATGAACTTGGTCTCGTATACATGCTAGCCAAATTCTCTACCACTAAGCCATGGCCCCAATCCTTGGTATTTTTGGACACAGTCTCTTATTAGTAGCCCACGGTGACCTTGAACTTGATATTAAGGTCAGGCTACTCTCAAACTCACAATTCTTCTCTTCCAGCCATCTTCAAATGCTTATAAATGTGACAGACCTTTCTGTCTAATTTTTCAGATGAGGGAGACTGAGGCAAAGAGAGGGGACATCTCCTACCCAAGGCCATAGAAACGGTGGGCAACTTTGTTGAGGTTGGGCTCTTCACTGCATAGCATGGAGGGCACCAGGAACTCGCTGGGGAGTAGAGCAGCCTCTCTATCCCTGAATGGAAGCCTCCCAGCCCTGAGAGTACAATGGGACTCACCAGACTCCGCTGACACAGCGCGTGGACAGCGCCCGGGGCATGATCTCTGAGCCTTGTTGCATGAAGCCACCCACAGGGAACCAGAGGCTGTTGCCCAGCGTGTACTGGTTCTCCAGAATATGGGGACGCGCCCGAAGGCATGGGTGAGGATTGTACCACTCGTAAGGGCTCAGCCTGTGGAGAGAGGTGGGTGAGGCAGAAGTGCAGAAAAGAGACGGGAAGAGGCGGGGTGGGGAGGGGGGAGTGATGGACACATGCAGAAAAGGAGGAGGGCAGATAGCAGAGATGCTAACACATCACAGAAGTAGACTTTGCAGTGGAGGCAAGAGGAGAGAAGCAGAGAGAAAATGAAGGAAAGAGGTCTGCCAAAGTCCAAGTCAAACTTTCGAGGGGGAGGAGAGAGACAGGGCAAGAAAGACAGGAAGGCAGGCATAGGGCACCCGTGGCAGCGACAGAGAGACAGTGCGGGTGGTATGGACTCCGGCCTCTCTCCCCATCCCCTCTCCAGTAGCAGGTGGTCCACTCACCTGGCAGCCAGGAAAAGGACACAGCTGACAGCAAGGTAGGCAAGAAGCATGAAGAGCCACACAGCAGGGGAGAAGGGGTCCAGGAAGGAGAAATAGCCAGGCTTGCGGCCCTAGGGCATGGAAAGAACAGTGAGAGCAGCTACCCCTGCCACAAGCTGTGTGCTCAGGCCCTGCACCCTCCAGAAACTCCCAAGTCCGACCAGCCCGTCAACCCCAGGTCCACTTAAGCCCATCTCTAGTCACCCTCCCCACCCCCAGTCCCGGAAATGTACCATGTGCACTCTGTAGAGGATGCTGATCCCCAGGGTCATGAAGGGCTTGGAGAAGTCAATGACTTTCTCCCGCTCCGCGGTGATGGTGAAGGCTGCCACAGCCAAGTCTGCCTTCTGCTGGAGGGGAAGCAGGTGGGGCGGAGGGAGGGAGGCACGAGACAGAGGTGGGCAGTTAGGGACACTAGAGATACCTCCGAGAGAGTTAGATCTGAGACAGTCCCCCTGGCCTGCTGGCTAACACTACTATGGTCAGGTCCATTGCAGCAGCCCTGCTTTTGTTTTGTCATGAGAAAGTCCCATTTTGCTCAGGCTAACCTTGAACTCATTATATAGTCAAGGCTATATTCCTCCCTAAGCCTCCTGAATACTAGCATTACAGGCTTCACCTCCTGTAGTGAATGTTGTTAGCATTCAGGCTGACAGCCTTATTGCTATTATTATTACTTGTTTTTTTCTTCTCTCTCTCTCTTTCTCTCTCTCTCTCGACTGGGTACCTTTAGCTTTGAAGCCTGTCCTAGAACTCACTTTGTAGGCCAGACTGGCTTCGAACTCACAGAGATCCGCCTGCCTCTGCCTCCCGAGTGCTGAGATTAAAGGCGTGTGCCACCACTGCTCAGCTAACAGCCTTGTTTTTAAAGCCCACCACTTGCTGCTGTCATCCTGCATCCTCAGGAGAAAGCAGGAGATTAGTGTCCAAGCCACTGGGTCTCTGGCTTGTGCTGGGACCTTGGTTTCAATAGATGGTGATTATTAATTGCTTACCAGAATGGATAAAAGTGTTCTGCTTTATTTTTGGTGGTGTCAATGTGCGTACACATGTTTATGTGTGTGGACGGGGATGTGTTATATGCAAATGTGAAAGTCAGAAGTTCAGGTTGGGTGTCTTCCTTGCCTGCTCTCTATTTTTTTTTTTTTTTCTCGAGACAGGGTTTCTCTATGTGGCCCTGGCCGTCCTGGAACTTACTCTGTAGACCAGGCTGACCTCGAACTCACAGAGATCTGCCTACCTCTGCCTCCCGAGTACTGGAATTAAAGGGGTGTGCCACCACCTCCTGGCTCCACTTCACTTTCCGAGGCAAGGTCTCTCACTGAATCTGGAGCTCGATGGTTCAGCTACACAGCCTATTGATCAAGAGCCATGAATCATCCAGTCTCTTCTTCCCGGGCACTGCTGCTGTTTCTGGCTTTATAAGTGTGCTGGGGGTCTGAACTCAGGTCCTCACACTTGTGTGGAGAGGACTCTACCCACCGGGCCATCTCCTTACTCCCTGGACAGGACTTCCTCCTGATCCTCTCTGTCTCGCCCAAAGCTCTCCGGGGCATGGCTAGTTCCATTTACAGATGGGGGAATCTCAGACAAGGGAGCAGCTGGAACGATGCAGTCGTGTGTAACCACAAATCTCCTCCTCCAGCAGGCACCGGTGATCTAGACAAGTGTCTGAAGGACACACAGGGCTAGGGTACAGCTCAGCCGCAATGATCTTGGGGAAGACTGCATACTTCTGGTGGGGAGGAGTGCTGTGGGATCGGCCCGAAGTGGTAAAGTGTGGGACAGACAGAAGGGTGTAGGCTGGGCTGTTCTGACCTGCAGGAAACACCTTTCTGAACTCAGTGATCCCACAGGATCATGTCACTTTGGGAATGACAGCCAGCTGTTAGCTGAGGGCTGACACAAAGCAGGGAAGAGTCTGCATCTCAGACGTGGGCATGCTCACATGTACTGCATCTCACACGCGGGCATGGTCATACATACTGCACCCCACATGCAGGCATGCTCACACGTACTGCATCTCACACGCGGGCATGCTCACACGTGCTACACCTCACACGCAGGCATGCTCACACGTGCTGTACCTCACAAATGGCCTTTTTCACACGTACTGCATCTCACACGTGGGCATGCTCACACGTGCTACACCTCACACACGGGCATTTTCACATGTACTGCATCTCCCACGCGGGCATGCTCACATGTACTACATCTCACACGCGGGATGCTCACACATACTGCCTCACACACACTGTCCAGTCATTTCTACAGCACAGTGGGCTTCGTGCACTATGACTATGCACACGTGCTGAGACGCTGGCCAACAGTGACACACACATGGGCTCATGGGGCCATGACAGACACATGTAACAGGGGCACACAGTGACATCTCTCAGGTGCCCGGCAAGTGCCATGTGGCAGTCGACACTCACAGTTGAGCAACAGAACAGGTAGAGTGGGTCCGGGGAAAGTAGAGCATTGCTTCTGCCCCATCCCATGACTGTAGGGTCAAGCAGGGGGTTCATGTGTCTAGACCTTGGTCTACCGTTCTGCAAAGGAGGGTTTGGTCATTGGGACACAGCTGTGCTCTTCCCCACACTTCAATTCTGTATCCAGCCAGAAGATTCCCAAACCCAAATCTGGGAAGGGAGCTTGTCCTGGGGGCTGAAGCTGAGAACACAAGAGGCATAGCAGTCCAGGCAGAAAGAAAGTGGGCAGTAGCAGGGAGGGTGCGTCCCTAGGAAGGCTGGGACTGGGAAGACGGGATTCAGGGCCCTAGAGAGTATATCAAGAAGGGAGGACACAAGCCAGGATCGGAGCCCATGGTGTGATGACCCATGAGCCAGATCATGACCTCCATAACTGAGAGTGGCCCTAAACCCAAGAGAGATCAGGGACGTGTAATTTAAGGTCAGAGAAAGATACCATAGGCCCAAAGGACAACTATAAGACAGGCGGATCTCTGTGAGTTCGAGGCCAGCCTGGTCTACACAGTGAATTCCAGGACAATCAGGGCTACACAGAGAAATACTGACTCAAAAACAAAACAAAAAAACAAACAAAAATAAAAGCAAAATTCAACGTCAGCAATGGAGAGGTAGCTCAGCCTGGAAAGTGATTTCCTGGCCAGCATGAGGACCGGGTGAAAACCCTGGAACTGTGTGGAAAAGCTGGGCATGGTGGAATTCATTTGTGACACAGAATCAGGGAGGTGGAGACAGGTGGATGGATCCCTGGGGCTCAGAGGTCAGGCAGAGCAGTGTAGCCGGTGAGTTCAGGCCGGTGAGAGAGCCTGTCTCAATGAGGTGGACAGCATTTCTGAAGATGACGCTCAAGGGTGACACACACAAACAAGACAGGGTGTGGTGATGCCCAACTTTAATCCTAGCATCCAAGAGGTGGGCAAAGGCAGGGACTCTCTCAAGACCAGCCTGGTCTATATAATGAGTTCCAGGCTAGCCAGGGATACACAGTGAGATCCCATTTAAAAAATTAAATAACTTAAAAACCCAAACCAGAAACAAATGAACCTAAGGTCAAGGAAAGAGCAATAGGCCCCAGTGGAATCCAGGGCCAGGGAGAGAGAAGGCAGATCACAAGGACAACTCACTCTTCATGTCTGGAAGAAACCACTCCGAACTGATGATGACCCAGAGCCGAGAGACACAGCGCAGGTTCAACGAGGAATGCAGGGTGAGTGAGGAGTAGCCTGATATAGATGAGGTACAGGAGACAGCTCAGCCCTGAGGCATAACCAGAGGAGGTGTGTGGTGGTGTGCACAGGGATTCCTGGGGGCTGAGTGTGGGAGCGTTCATCCTTTTTTCTAAATTGATCACATGTTCACACGTTCATCCTTTTTTCTAAATTGATCACATGTTCACATGTATGAATAAGGTGAACTGGTATGGGAACCATCAAGACAAACACAGGAATCCTATCGTGTGTGTGTGTGTGTGTGTGTGTGTGTGTATGCACGTGTGCGTGCGTATGCATCAGTAACAGTCCTTCCAGGGTGGCTCAGGACCCTAGTGCAGACAGGTGGAAACACTGGCCTTTCAGATATAACCCAGGGTTCTATGGTCCTTACGCAAACTGTTTGGGAATCCCCCTTCCTCCCCAGAAAGCCTGTAGGGTTCCTCTTTGCTCTCTGCCCGTCTCTTGTGGCTCAGCAGCCTCTTTGTACATTTGCCTCAGACCCCACACCTGCTGCTTCTTTCTCCTGCTCTGCTTGAGAATCCTCCCAGGTCTGTCCACTCCTCCCCATTTCCTTCATCCAGATCTATGATCTACGTTCCCCAGTGCTTTTCCTGGCAGCCACGCTTGCCCCCCAGCACCCTCCCATCTCTCACAAACTGCACATCCACTCCCCAGATATAAGCTAAAGGGATGTCTTCTGTTCAAAACACATCATGAGGCTGGAGAGATGACTCAGTGGTTAAGAGCGTGGGCTGCTCTTCCAGAGGACCAGGGTTCAATTCCCAGCATCTACATGGCGGTTACAATTGTCTGTAACTCTAGTTCCAGGGCATCTGACACCCTCTTCTGACCTCTGTGGACATCAGGCACCCACGTGGTGCACATATCTACATGCAAGCAAAATACTCACACACATGAAATAAATAAATCTTAAGAACAAACTAATACACATACACAATGGCTTCCCCTATCACTCGGGAAGAGCTATCCTCCTGTCTTGCTGGCACGCCTACATACACGGTCCTCTAACGAGTTTGCTCCAGCCACTGTGGCCTGCTTTTTGCTCTTGAACTCTGTAGACCCATTCCCTACTGCAGGGCCTCCCTGGCTCTTCCTTACCACCAGCAGCTAAAAACCAAGCTCACGATCAAGGAGGAAAAAGACGGGTCTCAGCAACAGCTAACTCCTCAGTATCTAGGAGTCAGGCCTCCTAGAGAACCACCTCACCTCCACCCCAGAGTCCTTTTTTCTCACATTACCGTTGCTGATTTGCATTCTCTTAAGTGTCTGTTTAGCAATGCATTAGGTATGATGGTGCATGCATGCTTTGGATTCACTCAGGAGGCAGAGGCAGGCAGATCTCTGTGAGTACAAGGTCACCCTGGTCTGTAACATGCAGTTCCAGGTCAACCAAGGATCTATAGTGAAATCTGTTTTTTTTTTAGAAGGGAAATGATCCCAGCCATTCCTTTAAAGCCCCCCAGATAGCTCAGACATCCCTTGACTTCAGTAGCTTAAATTACAAAATGTCTGTTCACAGCTGTGCCTCTACTACTAAACTACAGACCTTTCAAAGGTAGGACTATGTCATTTGTCTGTGGCAACTGCACAGAGACCAGGTCAGAGCAGGGGCTGATGTATCTCATGTCC